TAATCTCTATATATAAAACTGTTTGTCCTGACTGACTGACTGAATGACTGACTGACTGACTGACTGATTGGTGATCACAGCCCAAACCATAAGAGCTAGGAAACTGAAATTTGCACTGTAGTTGTTACCTTATGTGATGTATGTGCACGTTAAGACGGGGTTTCGGGAAATTCCACCCGCAAGTGTGGAAAAATCGCGAAAAACGTTTGTATGTAACTTCTTTGTTTACCATCCGATCGTCCTCAAACTTATTTTCAAAGATCTTTGTTCAAATTTATTTGAGGGGTGTTTCACACTTTTAGGAAAATCCGTTCCTCCTTGGTGGAAATGGAGGTCAAAGATTTGGTGGGTGACGTTTCGTGCTCTAATTCGATTCCAAAGATCTATAAAAAAAAATCATTTGAGACGTGTTTCACACTTTTCGCAGAATTCAAACTTCTTCGGGGGGAATGCGATTTAAAGATTTTTTGGGCGAAGTTAAAATTTCGCCAGGCCGACCCGTTCGCTAGACGATCACGCCTGGCGAGCACGCCCCCGGCTACGCCAGCTATGGCTCCTCAGCTCACTGCACCATGCAGGGAAATTGAAGAGATGGAGACCCCAAAAAGGCTTAGGAACCCGGCCAGCCCCACGAACAAGCCACGGAGCACACCGTGCTTGAAATTTTAACTGTAGGACCTCCTAGTCCCCGCGCAGATCGAGTTTATTCCGATATTCGATATATTGCCCCGTTTCCAAGTTATCGATAAAATCGATATCGAAATCCTGTTTTTTAAGCAATTTCGGCAAATAATGTGAGCTAGAGTCACCAAACTTGACATGTAGCTTCTAGTATACTTGATATATATATATATATAATAGTATATATATATCAAGTATCTTTCATTTTATACCTATCGCCTGTCGGAAGAAGAGGGTTCAGGGTATCCCCTAATCGGGAGCTCCCGACTAGAACCTCTTGTTTATATTTATTAATTTGATAATTAACTGTTTGGCGGGGTATATTGTATAATTTACTGATAATTTCAACTCAGTATTCAATATTTACAGACTCGTAGCTTAGCTTCAAGCTCAATAGCAGTTCAACACAGACTAAATAGAGCAAATATCAAATTAATTTTGTCCACCTGTTATCAGCTTGCGAAAGAGAAGAATGCGTAAATCAAGAAAACGCATAAAGGAATTAAAAAGTACTTTGCATTCTCTTTTTTACTTATATCTACGGTTTCATTGCAATAGATCAAGAAAGCGCTACATGTTGCAATTCTCTAAAGCAAAATGAATAACATAGCGCATAGTTTTGTCAAAATATTTATGCCGTCGACTGTAAGCCATTAAAAAATGACAAAATTCTTGATTCAAAAAATGCTTTTTATTACAAATATTTTATACTTTCAATGATTTTGTTTAACATAACAATACATTGAAACTATTAATTCAAATGGTAAATTAATTGATTATGATGAGGTTGTCTGATTTTCGCCAGGAACCTTTATTTTAATGATTTTTTTCCACTAACTTCTTCGAAAGCCGAGTTTTTTTTTGATTTTCAGCTTCTGTAAAAAGATACAAGGTACATTTATGTACACATGAAAAAATCATATACATATGAAGTTGATAAAATATTGGTCCTTACCTTTGGCTTTATCTGCCGCTGCATTGAGACTTTTTTTATCATAAAATTCTGTAAAAAATGTTTAATATAAAATAAAACTTGTATTATATACTTGAACGTTTATATGATATTAATTTATTTTCACATTCTATTTACCCTAGATGCTGCAGTGGCATGTCATATCAACTTCGCCATCAGGGCTATTTCAATCAGCGTCAATTTGGAAATAACATATGTAAATATAAATAATTATATTGCAAGGGGTATTAACACACGTACATTTATGCATGATAAATATTTTTACTGAATTTAAAATATGTACTCAGGTATGTATGTGCATATTATTATTATATAAATACATTTTTTTTGTTATTCCGAGAATTTCACTTCTAAATATACCCTTGCAGAGGGTATTATAATTTTGTCGTGAAATGTGTAACGCATAGAAGGAGACATCTCCGACCCCATAACGTATATATATTCTTGATCAGTATCAACAGCCGAGTTTATATAGCCATGTCCGTCTGTCCGTCTGTCTGTTTCTATGCGAACTAGTCTCTCAGTTTAAAAGCTATCTTTATGAAACTTTGCAGAAGTCCCTCTTTCTGTTGCACGCAGTTCATATGTCAAAACCAGCTGGATCGGACCACTATATCATATAGCTGCCATAGGAACCATCGGTCGAAAAGTAGGTTCTTGTATGAAAATCATTTTTGTTTATAAAAATATCTTGATCAAACTCGGCATTTATTAGTTGCACCATGCTCCTCATATATATGCAAAATCCTATTAAGATCGGAACGCTATATCATATAGGCGCCATAGGAACGAACGGTCAAAATTAAGTTGTATGGATAACTTTTTTGTTTTTCAAGACATCTTAACCTTACTCGGTTAATTAATTGTCATTAAGTATGTTTCCTGTGCTTCCTAGATACGGGCAAGGCACTATGATCATTATGAAAAGGTTGGGTCTGCAAGGGTATTAAATGTTCGGCGTGCCGATGATAGCCCTTCCTTCTCGTTTTAATTTGTATCTATTCAGCGGAAATTCATAGCACATATTTAGGCTCACATAGTGTATGTAGAAGTACACATACATACATATACATAGGTGAAGCGATTTCCTAAAAGTTATTATATACCCATAAACATGCATTAAAAATGTTACTAACCATTTAGGTTTTTGTATTTTTGATCAAGGCAAAATGCAAATGCAGCTGTATCTATAATAGTAGCAGCGTATTTCTTGCCTCTGAACGTAACTAAACAATAGTACATATTCAATATCACTCTTTCTTCCGGAAGTACATAATACTTTCCACATTTAACTAAAAAAAAACATTTTGGTTTTGTACTTTTTACTTCGTTGCGAAACACTTCAAAATTAAATTAAGCGCACAGCAAAGGCGATTACGATTATATTTACTAAACAGTTTTCCCCCAGGAATGGAGCGAGTGCCTCGCGAAATAAAATAGAAATCCTAAAATCAAAAATAATGCATTACCATTATATATAATAGTTTATTTTTAAGCTGAGAAAAAATCAAAAGTTAACGTAAAATAAACTTTACAATCATACCTGCATATTTTTTCCGAAGGGAATAGATGACAAAGCTCTGAAATTAAGCTAGGAAAGTACTGGGTTTTTATTGGTATTTTAATTGCCATGGCGTCTTTCACTATAATATTCATTAGGTCTTCTCGCAAAGAATCAGTAAGATCCTTGTACGCCGCTCCAAAGGCTAAGATGTTTTTTCCTTTACTTGTTTCGTGCACTAAGGAAAACATACTCTGAAAAGAAAAGACAAAGTATAATTTGCTAAAATGAACGTATCGTATACACATATGAACAACAATATTTATGAGGACAGAGGAACTGTGGAATTAATTTGTAATGTAACGATTATTTCGGGTACTCTATATGTGACATCCCTTTTGGAAACTACTTATGTTCCTAAAATAACTATAGCATATATAACCAAATATACAAACATGGTTTAACGGAATGGAACGAAAATTTACCAAACGCACACGAAAACTTTGGAAAATTATACGTACATACAATGCTTATAAGGATAAATATATATTTTTACTTAGAAGTGAATGTTTATTTGTACCTCTTTTTTGAATAGATGTTCCAGATTATCGGAGTCAAAAGTCTAAAAGTATTTATTATTATATGCAAATAAATTCAGTGTGCAAGAGCTTATATGAAATTAGATATTGTTTTATTAATAGTAGGGAGCTCCCGCTATGCCCTAGCGGGTGTTCACCCGGAACCCTCTTCTGTCAACACCAAATTCAGCTCGCGCTAGCAGAGCTCGTTTTCAGCAGTAATTAAAATAAATTTTAAAAAAAAGTTTTACCTCAATAGGACTAGAACACACGACAGTCCACACTTCTTGAGCTCGAATCGAGCTAAAAATTCTTGAGTTAAGTATAATTCGTACTTAATTTCATATAAGCTCTGAAAGGTCTTTGTACTTAATGTAAGCTTTAAAAAATCAAGACGAATAAAAGGTAATTCAAGATTTAAAAATCTTAAAAAGCTGGAGAACGCAAGAAAATTGAGAGAGAATTGGCACGCGCGCGCTCTCTCAATTTTTTTTTCTAATTCTTTTGCTGAAGCCAATGCGTGCCATTTCAAGTGAAGAGTTCTGTGAGTTTAAACGTAGAAATGTACGCGGATAAAAAAGCGATATTGCCGGACCAAAGGCTTTGGGAGCTCCTTAAACAGTTTGGATTGGAGCACCTGCTTTCTTATTGAGAGGGTAAGAGGGTAATACATACATACAAACGTATGTATGGGTTTAATTATTCTTGAATATATATGTATGTATATGTACATACATATATACTAACATAGATTTACGTAGATAATAAATATATTTACATACATAGATAATACACATACATATGTTTATGTATGTATCATATGTATTTTTGCAAGCGACACGGCGTCGTCTCGAAGGCGGCGTCTTTGCTATTTTCTAGCGCGATTAATTTCGTCACTTTTCTACATACATATGTACATATGCACATACATATGTGTGTACAAAATTTATATGTGAATGTATGTAGATATATAATTTATGTACACGTATGCGCATTTGTATATACATACATATACACATGTAAAGTGTGTACACACATATGTATGTATGTTTGTAGAAAAGTGACGAAATTAATCGCGTTTGTGTATATATGTATATTTTTTATTATGAAATTTTAACTTTGTCGAAGTTAGTTTTGGTTACCGGTTGTTCGTTTTATAATGTCTATAATCTGTTTCATGGTAATTTAGAAGCACATATTACATACGACACATTAAAGTACATGAAAGGTGACGATTTTAAGGAAATTATACCACTACTTGGACCCAGAATTGAATTACGGGAAAAGTTGTTCATGTGGAGAAAAATCGAGGTAATAATGGTGTACATACATACATAACAAAATATAATTATTAATAAAATAAATATATTATTAATAAACTCTGTATTATAATTATTTTCACATATACATACATTATGCATAGCATAATCTCTATATATAAAACTGTTTGTCCTGACTGACTGACTGACTGATTGGTGATCACAGCCCAAACCATAAGAGCTAGGAAGCTGAAATTTGCACTGTAGTTGTTACCTTATGTGATGTATGTGCACGTTAAGACGGGGTTTCGGGAAATTCCACCCGCAAGTGTGGAAAAATCGCGAAAAACGTTTGTATGTAACTTTTTTGTTTACCATCCGATCGTCCTCAAACTTATTTTCAAAGATCTTTGATCAAATTTATTTGAGGGGTGTTTCACACTTTTAGGAAAATCCGTTCCTCCTTGGTGGAAATGGAGGTCAAAGATTTGGTGGGTGACGTTTCGTGCTCTAATTCGTTTCCAAAGATCTATAAAAGAAAATCATTTGAGACGTGTTTCACACTTTTCGCAGAATTCAAACTTCTTCGGGGGGAATGCGATTTAAAGATTTAAATCGCATACGAATTATACTTAACTCAAGAATTTTTAGCTCGATTCGAGCTCAAGAAGTGTGGACTGTCGTGTGTTCTAGTCCTATTGAGGTAAAACTTTTTTTTAAAATTTATTTTAATTACTGCTGAAAACGAGCTCTGCTAGCGCGAGCTGAATTTGGTGTTGACAGAAGAGGGTTCCGGGTGAACACCCGCTAGGGCATAGCGGGAGCTCCCTACTATTAATAAAACAATATCTAATTTCATATAAGCTCTTGCACACTGAATTTATTTGCATATAATAATAAATACTTTTAGACTTTTGACTCCGATAATCTGGAACATCTATTCAAAAAAGAGGTACAAATAAACATTCACTTCTAAGTAAAAATATATATTTATCCTTATAAGCATTGTATGTACGTATAATTTTCCAAAGTTTTCGTGTGCGTTTGGTAAATTTTCGTTCCATTCCGTTAAACCATGTTTGTATATTTGGTTATATATGCTATAGTTATTTTAGGAACATAAGTAGTTTCCAAAAGGGATGTCACATATAGAGTACCCGAAATAATCGTTACATTACAAATTAATTCCACAGTTCCTCTGTCCTCATAAATATTGTTGTTCATATGTGTATACGATACGTTCATTTTAGCAAATTATACTTTGTCTTTTCTTTTCAGAGTATGTTTTCCTTAGTGCACGAAACAAGTAAAGGAAAAAACATCTTAGCCTTTGGAGCGGCGTACAAGGATCTTACTGATTCTTTGCGAGAAGACCTAATGAATATTATAGTGAAAGACGCCATGGCAATTAAAATACCAATAAAAACCCAGTACTTTCCTAGCTTAATTTCAGAGCTTTGTCATCTATTCCCTTCGGAAAAAATATGCAGGTATGATTGTAAAGTTTATTTTACGTTAACTTTTGATTTTTTCTCAGCTTAAAAATAAACTATTATATATAATGGTAATGCATTATTTTTGATTTTAGGATTTCTATTTTATTTCGCGAGGCACTCGCTCCATTCCTGGGGGAAAACTGTTTAGTAAATATAATCGTAATCGCCTTTGCTGTGCGCTTAATTTAATTTTGAAGT